GCCCGCCGCGGCCACCTTCAGGTTCACGGCCGGCAGCTCCATCCCAACCCCGGCGGAGGGAACCTGCGCCACGGCCGCGGGGGATCCTGGGCTCCGAACTCGGGGAACAAACTTGACAGGCCCCGCCCCTCCCGTGACGTCTCCTCCAATCCCGGCTCGGCCCCGGACCATGTGAGGCGCCGCGCGCGCGGCCACGTGACCGCCGCCACCAGTTGCTAGGAGACGGCGTCCTGCAGCACGCGCCTTCTAGGAAGCTCCTTTCCCCGCCCCTGAATTCCCGTCCCGGCCGCGCCCCGAGATGGCCCCGCCCCGAGATGACCACGCCCCTAGGTGGCCCCGCCCCGCCCAGGCCCTTATTTGCGAGCGTCGCCCTGGACGCAAGCAATGCCCTCCCTACCTGGTTACTCTCTCCGGTGAGCCGGTGGGACCGCCGTGGGATCACCCGCAGCCCCATGGGCAACAGCTGGGGTCTGTCCCGCCGTCCTCTCTTCCCGGTGGACTTAACGTTAGTGACAGTCCTGCCTCACAGGTGCTAGTGAGCGTAGATGAGCTAATCCATGTCGTCCAAGAGCATAAGTAAGTCGGGAAGCCGTGGCTCACGCCTGCACTCCTAGCTACACAGGAGCCTGAGGTGTGGAGATCGTGAGTTTGGAAGCCGCCGCAGAGACTCTTATCTTCAAGTAATCAGCAGAAAGAAAGGAAGGCTCACCTTGGTGGCTCACACCCGTGGTGGGAGCAGGGGAGGCGGAGGCAGGATTGTGAATTGGAGGCCTGTCAGAGTTGGCTATAAACTGACATTTGTTTACTCAATAAGGAACTATTCCAGAATAGAATTGAAGGGACAGAGCGAGGGCTCAATTCCAAACAAGACCATGGGAGGGTTTATAGCCAAGACACCCAGGGAAAAGGGATTCCTCCCAAATTTAGCAGATTTCTTACTAAACTTAGTTATGTAGGCTGAGCAAGGACAAGGAGACAGAAGGCCAAGATCATAGCTGAGAAGAGGACTTCGCAGTGCTTGAATTCCAGCCACTCCAGAGGCTGAAATAGGAGGCAGAACAAGCAAAAGAATCCCTTGAAACCAGGACTTTAAAGACGGCCTGCGCAACACAGGAAGACCTTGTCTCAAAAGGGCACCAGTGGCTCACGCCTGTCATCCTAGCTACTCAGGAGGCTGAGATCTGAGGATCTCAGTTCAAAGCCAGCCCAGCGGGAAAGTGTGATACTCTTTTTGTTGTTGTTGTTCATGGGGCTTGAACTCTGGGCCTGGGCGCTGTCCCTCAGCTCTTCAGCTCAAGGTGAGCGCTCTACCACTTGAGCTACAGTGCCACTTCTTGTGGTTTATTGGAGATAGTCTCACAGTCTTTCCTGCCCGGGCTGGCTTTGAACCACAATCCTCAGATCTCAGCCTCCTGAGTAGCTAGGATTATAGGCATGAGCCACCAGCCCCCAGCTTCTGTGACACCTTATCCCTACCAAACCACCAGAAAACCGGAAGTGGTGCTGTGGCTCAAGTGGTAGAGCACTAGCCTTGAGCTAAAGAGCTGAGCGATGGCACACAGACCCAGAGTTCAAGCCCTGTGACCTGGGGGGGTGGGGGATGGGGAGGGAGGAGCAGGGGGAGCACTTCACCTCATCTTGGTCCTATGGAAAAGGCAGAAAAGGACATTGCCTGTGTTCCAATGGATTCCAGGAAACCAGGCGGAAAGACAATATTGCCTAAAAAGAAGAACCCCCCAGCCTCTCCTAGTTTTCATTCTGTGGCATTCCCTTCAAACATCCTCACAGCACCAGTCCTTTATTCCATGTGCATTGGTGTGCATGTGAACATATGCCTGCCACATGTGTGTGAGTTCCTTGTGTCTGAATGCACATTTGTACACATGCATGGCATGTGTGCATGTCTATGTAGTATGTAAATTCATGTGAGCACATGGGCACACATGTGCATGCTGGTATTATATATATTGTATGAATAGCTATGCATATGTATGTGTGTGCATGCTAGTGTGTATAGTTGTGTAGATACATGTGTTTGATATGCATTGAAATGTGTCTTTGAATGTGTGTATGAATACATGTGTATGAATACGTGTGTGTGAGTTGATGTGTGTGTATAGACACATATACCTGTGTGAATAGCCATGCATAATCGTGTGTTGCATGTGTGCACCTGTGTTTGATTGTACATGTAAGTGTGAGATATCTGTGCACATGTGCGCATCCTTGTGTATGTACGTGTGTGTGTACTCATTCTCTTGACTCAAAGCCCCTTGTTCAGGCTGCGTTCTCCAGCCTCTGGGCCAGGCTGGGCTCCCAGCAGACCTGTGGTTTCTGGAGACATGATTCTCCCCTGCCGGCCAGGGCCTGGCCTGGTTTGCACACTACAGATAGTGACAGCTCGCCTTTGTCAGACCTCCCATCTTTCCACATGGATGGTGCTAGAATTTCAAAGGAGACACCTGAAGGCTCTATCTGGCCCAACAGAAGCTCGGGTGCGCACACAGGCCGCTTGTGACCCGGCCCCGCAGTCCCCAAGGTGCCCACGGCCTTCCCCTGTGCTTATCTGGGTGTTTGCTTTCATTCCCATGGCTTTCAAGTCTGACTGGGGCAGCTCCGGGCCTCTTCACCGGCTTGCAGGGGTGTAACTGAGCCTCAGCCTGTCCCCAAGCAGCCCAGATAAGAGAAGAATGAGGAAGGTCCCAACAGAAAGTCCTGCAGTAAGCACTCTACCACTGAGCCACCTTCCCAGCCCTGGCTTTTTCTGTCTATGTGGTACTGAGGAATCAAACCCAGGGCTTCATGTATGCTAGGCAAGTACTCTACCATTAAGCCACCTTGCCAGCCCCTAGAAGGGAGGAACTTTCTATCAACTTTCTAATCATCTAATCATCTTGGACTAATGATGCAATGAATTCAGAAGTGAGCAGAGGGCTGGGAAGGTGGCTCAGTGGTAAGAGTGCTTGCCTTGCATGCATGAGGCCCTGGGTTCGATTCCTCAGCACCACATAAGTAGAAAAAGCCGGAAGTGGCGCTGTGGCTCAAGTGGTAGAGCACTAGCCTTGAGCTGAAAAGCTCAGGGACAGTGCTCAGGCCCAGAGTCCAAGCCCCACAACTGACAAGAAAACAAAAAACCCAGAAGTTGAGCAGAGTTAACGCAGGTCACAAAACAGGAAGAAAAGAAGGAGGGAATCGTGCAGCACCTTGTGCCAGGCCCTCGGGAGTTGGGGAGAGAAGCTCAGTGGACAGCCTTCATCCCAGGGTATGTCTGTCCCTTAGTGGCTGAGGGGTTTCTGGTTTGAAATTGGTCACCTGGTGCTGCATCCAGCACTGCAGAGTGATCAGGAAGCTAGAAAGGGACGGTGCCCTGTGAGAAAGAAAGAAAAGCACAAAGGCCATCTCAACATCAACACAGGGAGCCAGGGGACACTCTTCCTTGAAGGACAAAGCCCCTGGTTTATCTCCCACACAGTTGTTTTTTGTTGGTGGTGGTGGCAGTGGTCCTGGGGCTTAAACTCCGGGCCTGGGCACTATCCCTGAGCTCTTTTGCTCAAGGCTATATCACTCTATCACTTTGAGCCATAGCAACACTTCTGATTGTTCTGGTGGTTAATCGGTGGTAAGAGTCTCATGGACTTTCCTGCCTAGACTGGCTTTGAACCACAATCCTCAGATCTCAGCCTCCTGAGTAGCCAGGATTACAGGCGTGAGCCACCAGGGCCCGGCTAGGCAGTTATTAATCAGTATGACCTAGTAGGAAAGGCAGTGAACTTTGTACATAACTAGCAATAAGTGAAAAAGTTTTCTCACAGGAAGCAGACATCATTTTGGTAGAAAAGTAACCCCAGGCTGAACATAAGGTCTTAAGCTGACCTGGTGAGTAAACTAGCTGCTTTCTTATCCTGGTTTAGGAGAAGGGTCAGGAACAGGGGCCGGGCACTGTTCTGTGCATGCCTGAGTGACCCTTGCCACTCAGGTATCCCTGGTGCTTATAGCCTAGCTTAGGAGATCAGCGGTCCCCAACAGCCTAGACATGTGACCCAACTTGCCAACTATCCCATTTTGGTGATTTTATCCATGCCTGAGGACAATGGCTTTACAATCAAAGGGTGTGGGAACATGGTGTCTTTTCTTTGAGGCTTTTTTTTTTTTGTGGTCCCAGATACATAAAACAAGCCAGGCATTTTGTATCTTGCAACTCCATTACTTATCTGGGACACTGTATCTCATTTAGAATCTAGGAGGGAGGGAGGGAGGATGGAATGCAGGACTGGGCATTCTTGAACCAGTTGATTGGATTCCTTACTGGTCCAGTGATTGTTTAGCCTCAGCTTCTAGACCCAGCTAATTATTTTGTTGTTGTTTTTGTGGAGTTTGAACTCTGGGCTTGGGCATGGTCCCTGAGCTCTTTTGCTCAAGGCTAGTGCTCTACCACTAGAGCCACAGCACCACTTTTGGTTTTCTGGTTGTTAATTGGAGATGAGTCTCAGGGACATTCATGCCTGGGTTGGCTTTGAACAGCAATCCTCAGATCTGAGTAGCTAGGATTACAGGCGTGAGCCATTGGCTCCTGGCTATTATTACTATTATTCTGATCCGTTTTCTAATTTCTTTGCTTTATGTCAGTCATGGGGTTTGGACTCGGGGCCTGGGCATTGTCCCTGAGCCTCTTTTGCTCAAGGCTAGCACTCTCCCACTTGAGCCACAGTGCCACTTCAGATATTTTCTGTGTATGTGGCACTAAGGAATCGAACCCAGGGCTTCATACATGCTAGGCAACCACTGTACCACTAAACCACATTGTGTGTGTGTGTGTGTGTGTGTGTGTGTGTGTGTGTGAGTCATGGGTCTTGAACTCTGGGCCTGTGTACTGTTCCTGAGCTCTTCAGCTCAAGGCAAGTGCTCTACCACTTGAGCCACAGTGCCACTTCTGGTTTTCTGGTTGTTAATTGGAGATGAGTCTCAGGGACATTCCTGCCTGGATTGGCTTTGAACCTCAATCCTCAGACCTCAACCTCCTGAGTAGCTAGGGTTACAGGCATGAGCCCCTGGCGCCTGGCCACATTTTTGACTTCTTTTCTTTTCTTGTCTGTCATGGGCTTGAACTTGGGACCTG